TATATGGAGAAACACCATGAAAGAATAGGATTGACAGCTATATGGCAGATCTAGACAACAAAACTACATAGGTCAATGCAAAAACCTCACTCTAAAGGCTTCTGTTAGAGTCAGAGTTAGTTTTGGTTTTTATCCTTCAGACTACTTGTTTTAAAAAATAAGTAAATGCATCCAAATAAATTCTTTTTTTTTTTTTTTTTTTTTTAGTACCAGGGATTGAACTCAGGTCCTTGTCCTTGTGCACCAGGCGGTGAAACCACTGAGCTAAATCCCCAGCCCACATCCAAATAAATTCTGACATTTACAAACACATTCAACATTTGGAAGCTAAATTAGTAGCAAAAAATAAAATCTGTAGGTCCTCAAAGCAGCATCATAACCACTGTATTTTGGATTTCCAGGGAGATGTGTTATTAGGGCTACTTAAATGAATGCTTTCATTCTAGGGTTGAGTAACCACCCTAGACAGCCACTAGGGTTAGTGCACACCAAGTACATACCCATTCTCCTTTATTAACATACCTATTCTTCCCTAATGAACTCTACTGCAGGGGTGGGTTTGGCAGGGTGCTTTTAACCAGATGTCCCTGAATGAACTCTTCAGTCAATCTAAATTGCCCAGAGCACTCCTAGCCTTCCCCCTCAGGTCTACAACTTAAGAGCTGTCGTACAAACATGTACTCCTCCTAGGAAAAGTGTGCCATTTGCAACTTCCAGCATTCTGTATTTAACCACTACCACTGTGGTTTTCCTCATGTAACTGGGTAAATCACAAAAATCTGTGGTGAGATCAGACATCCACTCTAACCAGTGTCATCATGGAGAAAAGCATATGGCAAAATGATGATAGGTTTTAAACTATTTTCAACAGTACAGTAATCAAGTTATAGAATGGTTTGTTTTCCTTTAAACTTTCATTCTTTAAGTATGACTACTACCATTCCCAAATGCACCCAGCACAGAACATAATACACTAGCTTAACATGTGATGCAACATCCAATATTACCAATGCTGGAATGCACTGGTAAGCAGTTGGCTCAAAAGGTTACACTTTTTTTTTTTTTTTTTTTTTGATACCGAGGATGGAACACGGGACCTTGTGCTTGTGAGGCAGGTGCCAGAACCACTGAGCTAAATCACCGGCCCAAGGTTACACCTTTTAAAGATCATGCCACACAAGGTTTCTGCCACACAAGGCTGATGCGGCGGTGCACTCCCTTAATCTGAGCCTGTAATCCCAGCAGGAGAACCCCAAATCTGATGCCAGCCTGGGCTAAAACGCAAGACCCTGACTCAAAAAAAAACCCAAAATCTTTCACACACAAAAAAAACACTACATATCCCGGTGTCTCTATAATTTAGTATTCATTATTGTCAGGCCCCAATTTCTAGCAGGAGAGTCATAAATAAAATCGCTTGGCAAATATTTATCAAACACATCTTCAGAGCTGGAAGTTGGAATTTAATAGTGAACAATATAGACAAAATCCTACCCTCATAAACTTCCAATGTAGAGCAGGAAGAACATTTACAAATATATATGTAATTCAGTTCAGAAAATTAACAACATATATTTTTCCATTTAAGACTGGCCTAAACATAGCCTGTTTTCAATAGGTAGAATCCAAACGACAAAAAGGGGTTGCTAAACCTTCCAATTTGATAATTACAATCTACAGAGCAAAAACTTCAAATACATGCAAAATAAGAACAGGCTAATGGGAAAAAAGGTATTGTCAAAGAATTGAAAAAATTTTATGATGAATATCTATGACCTGAAGCAGACATTCAAGGCCACTAGTTTTAACTAGATTTAAACAAAAACTAATATTAAATGGTGTGACCTATGTATCATCAATACAAATATTTAATAAACATTATGGTCATTAATTACAGAGAACATAATATACTTTTCATCTAGGAAATACATAAAGTTAAACCAATGAGGTATGCTTTTGTATATCTGTATAGAATAGTTTTCTTTGAGGTGTCAAAAGAAAAAAAACACTAATATAAATCAATTCAGAGAGTAAGTTAAAGACAATGAGAATTCAGAATTTAATGATACACTTATGGTGATACATTTAAGAGTTCATCTTTTAAAAAACAATGAAAAAGTATGTACGAACTGTGGAATAAATTTGGAAGATACTGGCATAATTACTAAATACGAAGCAAAATGGCCCAAATTTTACTGTCACGCTTGATTAGCTAGTATGATAACTATTATTTCCTTTTTAATGTCTTCATATTATTGATACATAAAAGTAAATAATTGTGTGAACAAATACAAGAGTCTACTCGGGCCGGGGACTGAGCTCAGTGGTTTCATCACCTGCCTCACAAGCACAAGGTCCCAAGTTTGATCCCTGGTACCAAAAAAAAAAAAAGTCTACACTTTTATCCTGCCAAGCAAATCCTTTCCTACTACAATCGTGTCATGCCCTGAACTAAAACTTATTTTGAAAATAATTATATATTGAATTGTATTTCAATATAAGGGTGATTCCTCCATTAATATACTGGTTAAAAATTTTAGCAGATCTTTAAACTGTGAAAGGATACATTCCGTAAGCTGCTCTGTTCAGATGTTATTTAAATAAGAGAAAGAACCAATAAAGTCAGTCTGTTCTCAAAGGAGCACATCAAAAACTTCTCAAATGGAACCTCTCAACATCTCTTCTCATTCAAATCAACCCTCATTTCCCTCCTGAACTCAAAAGCTTGTGAAATCACACACCAATACACACGGAAACCTGCTTTTAGCATGTATTATTACTATATAAACAGTGTAGTGATGTTACAAAATCAACATACCTAGAAGGTGAAGCAGTAGCAATTCTTACATGACATTCAGGGATTGTGTTTCTGACAAAAAGCTGTATTTTAAAATGTTACTCATGAATGTAGGGGCTAAAGTGATAGGCCACATGTGAGGGGCAAGGTGAGGCTGTGCTGCTCAAATATCTAATAAGAGGAGGAAAAATGTTGTCCACACTACCACTTAGCAGTAAAACTGGTTTACTTCATGTTTTTTTCTTCAGAAAATCATTTCAAAGTTCATTTTTAAAACCACAGTGTTCTTTAAATATGCAATATGCAATTAAACATCTATATATGTGTATTTCCCTCTCAGACATTTAAGCCCAGGCCTTCTGACAATTCCCTGAGCTCTAACTCCTGGCTGCTGGGAAATCCAGAGTTGTCACATTTCAGGCAAATAAGGTTGGTTTAAGAGACTTCAAAGGCCCTTTCACAGCTAAACAAAAAGCATAAACACTGTAATCAAGGCAAAATAAAAAGGAAACCTGGGTCTTTACAGCAAGTCCAAAACATGCTTTTCCCCATACTGATATACTTGAACACTATGTATTTCTCTTGCCTTCACTATTTTCTTCTCAACCTTGAGAATTCAAAAAACATTCAACTGCACATCTTCAGCTACCAAAAGTAACACAAAATGGGAAAGGGTATTTTCCAATTGCAGTTTTCCCCTGTCCTGTCATTTCCCCAAAGCCCACCTCTTTCATTTATTTAGCTGCCTTCTGTTCCTGGTAAATATGTGTACATTTATCTAATCAGGTTTCAAAATAACATAAATCAAGGCATGTGAAGTAACCATTTGTAACTATCTGTGATCATTATATTTTGTTCCTGCTTGTAAATGATCCAATATATAAGCAGTTCAGTCCCAAAGCCAATTGGTTCCTCCAGCCAACAGATGAATACTCCAAATAAGAAAAGGGATGCTTTTCCAATCCAAACTGACAATATTCTTTTAAGAGACGTTTGAAAAGCATATTTATTACACACACAAATATCTAGAACACAAGTGCAGACATTTTTCAGGCCTGTTACTGCAAAGCTGTTTGTTCTTCCTGCCACAATAGCTCAGAGAAGTCATGATGGCTTGTCTTCGAACCCTGATCGCTTGGTTCTGAACATTCTCTCAGAGATAACAAATACAATTCTTATTCGAGAAATGGTATTTTCTTGCTTAGAGTCAAAGCAGAATGTTGGGGGATGGTTATTTTAGAATTACAGGAAAATTTGTGCGGTACACTTCCCGTTTTCCTTCTAGTCCAGATTCCAAAGATATTAAAATACCCGTTTTAAACAAAAGATTTCTACTGGTTTCCAGGAGAGTAACTGACAGGCTGCACTGGTTTTCAGTAGTAACAATTGTGAATTCAGGCCTACATCTGGGTTGCCTCATTAAACAAAAGATACCCTCACTGTCAACAACCGTGAAGCACAATGATCGCCTATTCCCGATCTTTATCCGGAAAGAATGGTGCAGATGAGAAACACGCCTGTCACCATCCGCTAGCCAAGAAACTCTTCTGGGGCCCTCCTCGAAGAGATCTGGCGGCTAGAGAACAGCACTTGTGTGACACATCTGGGCTCGCCCTCCCGCCCCGCCCTCAAAACAGAAGCCCCCTTTCTTTAGAAGACAATGAGTCGATCCCCCCATCAATTCTTTGAGAACCAGTCGCTCGTCTGCCCACCATTCCTTCCCGACCCCAGAACGCAAGATATGACAATGGATGCACAAGGACCACCCCAACAGCCGCCATCCCTCAAGGCGTCCCGGCTCTGCTCGCCGCACCACCCCACGGAGCGCCGCGGCCACGACACTGCAAGTTCAAGCCCCATGTCCACCTTCCCGCCCCCGCGCCTCTCCCACGAAGTGATCAGCCCTTCTGCCATTTAGCAGATGCAGAGCAAATGATGCACAGCCCTCGGGGACACGAAGAGGCACACGCTCACACCAGGCAGAGCAGCCTCGACCCCTCTGCGCGCGCGCGCGCGCGTGTGTGTGTGTCCGCGTGCGCGCGCGCCGGCAATGGCCGGGGGCGCGCCCGGGGAGGCCCACGGAGAGCCGCTGGCACCCGGGTGGGGGGCGCGGAGGGCAGCTGCCCCTGGGGCCTGAGGCGGCGGGCGAAGGGTGCGGAGGCCCCGCGGGAAGACGCGAGCGGCCGGCCCCCGCCGTACTCACCGAGCAGCAGCAGCTTGAGCTCCCGGCGCGCGTCCCGCTTGTCCCTGCGGAGCTGCCGCTCGATCTCGTCGTTGATCCTCCGGGCCTCCTTGGCCTCCTCGCTCAGGCAGCACGCCATGATGGACTCCAGAGTCATGCTTCCGAAGTGCCGCCGCTGCAGCCCCACTGGCACCCCTGCTCACTCGCGCGCACACACACCCTCCCGCCCTCGCTCCCCCGAGGCAGCGGCGGCCGCGGAGCCCCCGCCGCCCGGGCGCGCGTCTGGGACGAGCTCGGGCAACCGCCGCGGGGGCGGCGGCCGGGGCCGGGACCCCCAGCTGGGCCGGGGTCTCGGCGGAGCTGAGCGGGGGTGGCGGCCGCGGGCGCTGGCTGGGGGGCGCGCGGAGGGGAGGCCGCCGCGCCCGGCCTCGCTCAGAAGCCCGCGCCTGCTTCCCCGCGAGCGGGCGGCCCGCCCGGTGTTCTGCGTCGCCGCTGCCGCCGCCGCGGCTCTCCTACGCCGTGCTCCCGGCGGCGCGAGCACATCCACCGGGGCGTCCCCGCAGCTAGCGGCCGCCGAAGACTCCTGCCCGGCGCCCGGCCCGCGCCTCCGCC